ATAAGTAGGAGGACGGCTTGATGATTTTTTGACTTTTTTTCTTAGGAGAAGTGGTTTGTGTCTGCACTGTTGTTTTTTTGAAGTTGTTTTAGTGGAAGATTTTCTTTTGTCTGCAGGATTACTTTGAGTAGTTGGTGTTTCTGAAACTGTAGTTGTATTATTTTTATCAAGTTCACACAAGGGTTTTTATCTTATTAATAAAATTGTCCCAGTCTCCCAGGTTCAGCTGCATTAATGTTTTGACAAATTCTTCATATTTGTTCTGTTGTTTTTTTTCCTGATGGACTACTTGGGAATATGTGGTAGTGTTAAACCCTACTACCATTTTTCCGTGCTTCTTGGTAAGGAATGTTATTTTTGTGCTTTATTGATAGAATTTCCTTTTCTCTTCTCCAACTGTCGCAAGATCTTGCGTAGACTGGATGATCACCACCACAGTTAGCACATTTATTGGGAAATTCACATTCATTCATGTGATGGTCAGGATCTTTTTGGCCACATTTCCCACACACCTCTCGTCCTCTACACGTGTCTTCATGATGTCCATATTTTTGACATTTATAACATCTCAGAGGGTTAGGCACAAACTGCTCGACCCTCTCCATGGTATAGCCTACTTTAATTTTCTCTGGTATTTTTGGTGAGTTAAATGTCATTATATAGGTGTTTGTTTCTATCATTTTACCTTCTTTTTTTATTGAAATTCGTTTAACATCAATGACATCTTGTTTTTTCAACTCTTTCTTAATTACTTCTATTGTACATAAAGATAGTTCTTTGCTTCTCACAACCCCCTTACTTGTGTTCAGGGATTTGTGAGGGTATGTTTTTACTGGAACATTGTGGAATACAGTCATTTTTAGTAGAAAATCCACATGTTTCTTCTTTTCCACTTCGACAAGCAGTGTCTCATTTTTCAATTTCTTGACAGTTAAAGGTGTTAAGTTGCCTGATATCACTTTCTATTATAAAGGAGATAAATTTGATTCCATTTCATGATCTGAAGAAGTGAGCTACATGACGTTTAAGTTTTCTATAACAACAAATCTTGGAAAGGATGATTCCACAGTTTCATTATCTGAAGAATCAAGATTCTATATAGTTGTGTTTAAGTATGTTTTTTTTGTAAGAGGAAGCCATAAAGATTGTTTTTATGTTTTTCACTGGTCCCAGCAGATTCCTCCACCCACACAAGGAGTCCAACTTATGTTGAGAATAAAGACAAATATATAAGGGCATGTTGGGGAAACCCATTCACTGCCCTTGGCCTGAGAGTGGGGGATACAAAACCAGTATACTCACGCCAAGAGTATGTTTCTGAACCTCTATCAAATGCTCAACAGTCTAATGTTGGTCAACAGTCATATCTCTTGTGGGACCACGATTGACCCTCAGCCCCCGCCTTCTAGTATATATAATATGAGGGTTGGGAATAGTTCTTTAGCAAGAGCAGATTGATAATTCTACACTGAGCAGAATGTATAACATGATTGGGAGAAAATAAAGACAAATATATATGCTAGGGCATGTCGGGACTAGATCTTCGATTGATTGGATCAGGCCTCTCCTATAATTGAACTGATCCATCTAGCCCAGATAAGGGCCAAACTGGAGTGTTGCATTACTCATGGCATTTCCTCTTTTTCCTGGGATCATGGATTGCTCAGCCACCAGGATCCTCCAGGCATCTTTTATTTGGGTTGACATAGTCAAAGGGACCTTAATTGTCTGCCCATTAACAGATGGACTTTCCAGGCCATGTGGAATTGTTCCTTAATAATAGTCTTGAAAAGACATGTGTACTCTGCTCCATGGTTCTACTGGAAGGGGCCATACATGTATTTTCTTTTGCTTAAAATTCCTGAGTTCTGTGCATTTTTTGCATCTTTTTACGTAGTCTTCTACGTCTCTTGAGTACCCCGGCCACCACGCTTCCAATTTTAATCTTCTTTGTGTAGCTGCCACTCCATAATGTACGTTATCGTGTATACTTTTTATAACCCATCTCCTCTGTGTTTCTGGGGGAACCACCAAGTCTCCATTACATATTATCCCGTTTTCTATAGTCATTTTATGTCTGATTTCTTTGAATGGTCTTTCAGCCATTGAACAATTTCCCCAGCGATTCTGTTTTATCCTCGACATTATTCTATTTAACACTGGGTCATTTGTAGTTTCAGTAGCCATTTTATCTACAGATATTACATCGGTTTCTACAAGGTGCAAGAATGTGTCTTCAAATTCCTCGTCGTTTTTGTCCTTCTCCTCTCTATAAACCTCAATCTAGATAAGGCATCAACGTGCGGTATCGTATTCCCTTTAACATATTCAATGTCAAAGTCGAACGCCATCAGTCTAATGTAACGTAATATTCTGGACGTTGTAACTTTTCGGTAGTTCTTTTCTTGGGTTGAAAATAAATTCCAATGGTCTGTGATCACTTTTCAACAAAATTTTTTCCCATCAAAAACTGTCTTGTTTCTATCCGTTGTCCACACTATGGCTAGTGCCTCCTTTCTATATTCGAATAATTGTGTTCAGTTGTTGTTAATCTCCTCGATAAGTACATTATGGGATGCCCGTCTTGAGACAAAATACCAGATATGGACTGCTCACTAGCGTCAGTAGTGAGAATTATGTCCTTCTTAGGGTCAAAAATTTGTACTATTGGCTTTTTTGCCAGAATCTGTTTTAAGTTTTCAAAGGCTTTCTGTTGGTGTTCTAACCAAATGAATTCCACATTTTTTTTTCTTAACTTAGCAAATGGTTCTGTCAACTCATTATATTTTGGTACATATTTTCTATAAAAATTTACCAAACCTAAGAAAGACTCCAACTCTTTTATTTTTCGGTGTAGCAACTTTTAGAATTTTCTCTATTAGTACTTTATCTGGAGAGATCCCTTCCTTTGATATTGAGTAACCCAAAAATGATATTTCCTTACTGTTGGTTACACACTTTTTTGTATTTATTGTCATACCAGCGTCTCTTAGCCGGTTCAGTATATTTTCAGTTTTTTTCTTTAAATCATCTTCATTTAAATCTCCAACACATATATCGTCTTGATAACAGATGGTATTTTCAACATTTCCTATTACTTTTTCAATAGCTTTTTGAAAAATTGCACTTGCCATTTTTATGCCATACGGCATTCTTTTCCACTTTAACAGGCCTATAGGTGTGTTTATGGTCGTCACTTCTTTAAAATTTTCATTTATCGGTATTTGGTGGTAAGCTGATTTTAGGTCTATCTCGAAAATACTTTAATTCCAGCAAGTTTATGTAAAGCTACTTCCACATTCGGAATAGGGTGCGAGTCAGCACAAACTTTATGGTTCACCCTATTTTATAATCTCCACAAATTCTCAGGTCACCATCTTTTTTTTCAATACCACAATGGGTGATGCCCATTTACTTACTCCTGGAGGGGCAGGTTCTAATAAGTCTTCCTTTATTAGCTTTCGCAATTTAGCTATTACCAACAGTAATAAATGCACTGGTATTTTTCTCGCTTCATAGTAGGAGGGGAAACATTTTCTTTTAATTTCAGGCTAGCTTCATAATTTTTTAATTTTCCTGTTTTTTCTATTTCTACCTCATTAATCAACTTCGTTGAATTTATTTTTAACACGTCATTCCCCAGTAGTCCTTGCATTTTTCGGCAATTTGTAACTATAATGGGTACTATTTCATATTTTTCTTTTAGTTCTATTGAACCTTCAAAGTAACCCATAATTGCTATAATCGAGCCATCAAACTGACGTAATTGTACGTTGGTTTTTTTTAAAAACGGTTTTCCCATTTTTTCCCACAAATTTCTGGGTACTATCGTGACCTCACTACCTGTGTCGATTTGCATTTCAACAATACAGTCGTTGATTTTCACTTTTATTTTTGTATCTCTGTTCTTAGATCCAGTATTTTGTATATTATCCTTTTTACATTAAAATTTGTCTATTTTCATCCTCTACTCTTTCCACATTTTCCGTTTTACATACTTCTTTGAAGTGATTTTTTTTAAACACTTTGAACATGTTTTTCCAAAGGCTGGGTATTTTTTTTTTTTTCATTTCATGAATTTTTCCACAGCACGCCTTTAATTTTTTTCTTTTTGTTTGTACCGTATATGTTTCAGCCATTATTTCTTCGTAGGATTTATTTTTATTTTGGTTGTAGGTATGTATTAATTCCTGCTGTTGTATAAATTCTATACACATATTCAAAGGCATGTTTGTAAGTTGTAACTGTTCCATTAACTTATATCTATGTGCCGAATTATGCATACCTTCAATTAATCTTAGTTGGATTAATTCGTCTTCTGTTGTCTGCTCTCCTGTTCCTAGTTTTTCGAATTCACAGTATTTACTCGCACTTCTTAACCGGTGTAAATATTTTACTATCGGTTCATCCACTTCCTGCTTTATTGCCATAAACTTGGTCCTTTCTGCAATCACCAGTCTTTTCTTTGGCCTCATGCTTCCCTTAATAACCTGTCTTATTTCTTGAAAGTCATTTCTTCTAGTTCTTGAGGGTAAACCATTGTAGCAACCTTCATAAAATTTCACAACCAGCGGTAGCCATAAACAAATCGGTGATTTCATTTTCCCCTCCTCTTTTTTTGTTGTCTTTCAACTTTTTACATCTTGCATTAGCAGCAAAGCAACGAATCACGTATCTACGATTTATTCTGGGTCTTCAAGGACTAAAGAGTATCCTATCAGCGACGCCATTGTTGTATCGTGTATATTGCTAAGTAAGCGTTCGACCTCTGTTCTAGTTGGTGTCCGTTTATCATATGAGCTACCTGCTCATATGCAAATTATACTAATTTACATCTCACTACATTTAGAAATATGTCTAACAAAGTTAAAAGAGTTTATAGATTGCATTTGACTTCAAAGTGATAATTGGAAAGTCTATTTTGATCAACACAACACCTCATTAGTTTCCAAGAAAATTAAAAAGAAAAAAATGAGTGAAATAAAAAAAGACATAATTACCTGAACAGTTGGGTATGATTTTTTTCCTTTCTCACTTTTAACTCCTTGAAGGCCCCCATGTGAAGGTCCTTCACACTTATAACGAAACCGAAACCCTCGCGATTGGGGCTGTTCTATAATGGTCAGTAATGCTTTACCTATAATTAATAAACGTTAACAATAATTTATACATATAGCAATACAAGAACTTTAAAAATCCATTAACAGTCAAGACAGTAAACATTAAATTCTGTATGATAGGCAAACCCAAACTAAGTTCTGATGTTATCTGATTGGTATTCCTGAAAAAGCTTATTTTATCTAGATTAACAGACCAAAATCTTCCCTCTTTTGGAAAAAAAAAATTATATATATATAATATTTTTTGAATAGTATAATACCCACCTAGAGAGAAACTTCTTTTGATATCTCTTGAAATAATTAAAACTATGAATAAAATTGTACACTATTGTCCTCATCTTTGTCGCCATATTTATTACAATGTTCCAGCCGTTGTATGCTCCGGCCTTCTTCAGGTGGTTGGAATGTTGAACTGAACTCTTTATTTCACTCACTGGGGTAGACTGTTCTAGTTCCACGTGCTATGTTTAATGGATGTCAGTTATCAGTTATCTCCTGTTAATTCCCCTCTCCAAGTTCTCCACTGCCTTATTGAACACACACTCTTTGGGTCCTGTCACTGGATCTAACCAACACCTTTATCCATTGTGCCATGTGTCTTTGAGGACATCTGTGTATGAATTTCTGGGTATTATGAACCTAATGTCTCGGTAATCATTTTTTACCAGTGCTCATATTGCAATTTTTGCTGTTATCATCATGTTTTACCAGAGCTCATATTGCAATTTTTGTTGTTATCACTTTTTCTCTGGCACTCCTTGTTACTGGTTCTCATATTGTATTCATTTCTATGCTTGGTCAGCTCAGGAGATTTTTGTGGCCTAGCATATGTGCTGTTGTAATAAATATGGCAACAAAGATGAGGACAAAAGTCCAAATAATGTAAATAGTGTACATAATACCTCATCTCAGAAATATAGACAGATACTGAATAAAAGTGTGCGCAAAATACCAATAGATATTTTCAATATAAAATGATACCATTTTGGATTTGGTAGTATATGATCAATGTGTATTTTACAGACCAGACCGACACTAAAAACATCAATATCACAGTATCTACAACTTAGGGAATTGAAATTTCAATAACATCCTTTCAATAATAAAACAATATTAGTAACATTAAAATTTTTGTCATATGACTCTGGAAAAGCACAATGATCTGATCTGTAAATTATCAATAATCTTACCAAATTAAAAATAGTACAAATATACAACACAGTTCAAATATTATGAACCAAAACAAATACTTAAATTTAACTAAAGATTAACAACAAATGATATGAATACGAAAGATGCAAATCATTTCTGATCAAATCTATGAATTTTGAATCCAACATGAATGGAACTGAATTTTTTTAAATCAAATAGAAAGGTTTCTACAATATATATATATATATATATATATATACTATGATCCAAAACAATTTGTATACATGCAGTAACATGCAGAAATGATGGTTTAACCATTTTTAATGGCCTACCACTCATATCCAAGTATGCCTGTCTAGTCAATCCTTGTTGCCATTTGTGTTTGTTCAATACGCACAGAGCCCACCTGTGGTTTATACTGCAACTATGCTGAGCAGACCTTAGTTATAGTTTCTGGGGGAGAGCACATTACCTGGTATGATCAACAGTCAGAACAAGGCTGATATGCTCAAACACTTTGTCATGATGACTTGTGACCATCTAGCATGACTATCAACAGCTCCCAAGTAGTTCTGCCTACTCAATTTGACTCACGAGGCTTGGGTCAACTAATGATATGGTTTTGGGGCACTTTCCAAAGGTGCCAGACACTGGGATCACCTCTTCACAGTCAGAAAGTGAACATTCCAACCACTCAGACATATGCCTATTTGGTTTAACTGTAATTACTCACAAATTGATGGTAAAATAGATAAAAATATGAAATAAATTCAAGAGAAAAAAACCTTTTTTCCAAAACACTACAAAGGGAGGATTTTGATATGTTGACCTATATAAAATAAGCTTTTCAATGATAGAAAATATGATAACATCAGAATTTATTCCTGGTTGAAAACAATCAATGCTCTGATTATGGCAGGTCTATAAACACATGATGCAAAGGCTAATATATTCAGCCAACAAACCTGTCAAAGAATTAGCTAAATCATTCATATTAGCAGCTTGATGTGGATAGTTTTCTTGTAAAATTTACAATACTGAAAAGGTATAAATATCTATTCTTGTATAATTTAAGATGAGGTTAAAATTTGAGCAAATAAGTAGATGTTATATTTAATATCTGTGATAATTATTCTATTTGAAAAGTGTTTAAAACATTTAAAAAAAAACAAAAAAAAACAAAAAAAAATGAGAATGTATATAGCAGTGAATTTATATTTCAGATGTAGCTAATGTTCAATATTTTATTTTTTTGTGCTCTAAATAAAATTGGTATAAAAGGAGAAAAAAATAATGTTAAAAAACACACTACCTATAGACTGAGTTTAAAAAAAGACAAAAAATGAAATCACAAAAAACAGAGTGAATACAAAGAGGCAGTGTCATTACAAGAAAGCCTGAAAAACCTGAATTCAGTAACAATGAAGAATTAGCACACACTAGATTGAAAATAGGAAAAAATAATAAGTAGTTGAACCATAAAAATATCATATTAATCAGTATAGAAAGACATCATGATTATATTACAGGCATTAATAGGTGTGTGGCCAGGTGGTTAGAACATTAGTTTTTCAGGCCATGAGATTCAGGTTCAAATTCAGGTGTTTCAACCAGTTCACCAGTGTCATAACAAAGGTATCATCACCTGTAAAAGCTACACACAAAACCTATATAAATACTCTTAGCATGTTATATATAAGAGGAACTGAAAGTAATCCCTCCTATTCCATGATGACAGCTCACAATATCAATAGTAAACCTTCCAACCAATAATCCATAATATTTTTGGCCTGGTTACAGATAGCAGCTGAGTAGCAGTTTTTAAAATGGTATCATACTTATTATAAAACCCAGGTTGTGTGTGTGTGTGTCTGTACGTTTATATATTGGATCGGATTTCCTACATTTTTCAACCGATTTCAACACAACTTCACAGGACTACATAAAATTACTTTGCGGTGGTTCTGACAGTGCCAAAAATTGGAAAAACACAATTGTTTTTGCACAAAATCAATTTGGAAACACTATTAAGAGGCATTAATGAAAGGGGGACAACTCATATCGAGTTATACTTATTATAAATCCCAGGTTGGTTGGTTGTGTGTGTGTGTGTGTGTGTGTGTTCCTTTATATATGGGATCGGATTTCCTACATTTTTCAACTGATTTCAACAAAACTCCACTTTTTTTTTGGCAGGTAGTGTTTCTTAATGTCTTGCACACTTTTTTCTTTATTTTTACATTCAGAATGTTTTAGAAATTCCATTTACAAGACAATTGTTTATAATAAAATTCTATTCAATCGGTAGACACATGACAATTGAAAACAATGTTTTTTGTTTGATTTGGGTTTGACCAATTCGTAACAAAAAAAAAAAAAACTAATTAAGACATGCGTGTCCGTCAACCTTAAACAATAATCTTTGTCAATTTTATTTTTCAGTCTTTATGATGGTCAATACTTGATCTATCTCTTACTGTTACATCACCGGGCAATGCCGGGTTCTGCTGCTAGTCTGACATAAAAGTGCATACAAAGCAGAAGTTTATTATTGAATAAGCACAAACATAAATATTAACATACACTGATACAAATGAAACAGTGGATGAGAGCACAGACAGTGAATAATGCTTTTCAGCAGTAGCAACAACAATGTGTGTGACAAGTCATGTTCTAAGGAGACTTGTCAATCCAGAAAATGAAAAGTAATAAACTCATCCATGCAAATCGACTGATTATGAAACTGAATGTCGGTTTCTATACATTGGAAACGATATTGGGATATTGAAAGTTTTGTTTGTTGCTGGTAATATTTTTTTCTCAAAAATGTATTGCTGGTATTTTTATACTTTTATAATGTTTTGACTCCAGTTTCGAAGTTAACTATTTGCCCATAGTTGGGACCCTAACAAGTGCTACCACCCCGGGTCAGGGTGGACCTGGGGGACAACAGCAATTAAGAGGTGGTTTCATGCTCCTCAAAACCTCCTGATCAGAGGCCTTGTTGCCAGATTTAGTTTAACATCATACTCAGGATGAGATATTGTAAACCTTGTGCAAGGTAGGTCCTTCATTACTTAGATCACCATGTTCAAATCTGTCAGGAATTACTGAACCATTGGAGGTTGCAGTTTCCTGAACTGGTTTACCCAAGTGATGAGACAAAGTCACCAGTATAAGCTAGAATCAAAATGAGAGTCAATAGACTGGCAAAATGTAAAAAAGCACAAGATGCAGCGGTCAGTGAGTAAAGTGATTCATACTGTCTTTTCATATTCTCATGGATTTCCTGGAACTCTGACAAACTATCAGCACTGACCATTACATTGACTAATTAAAGATTTGCTTGCCCACATATAATCATGTTGCAAATTTTTAGATAGGTTGTTTTACCACACCCCACATTATCACCCAAATTGAATGATTTCCAACTTTCAGATGAAACACCAATAGAAGATGGACTATGTGGACAACATTTTCTTATGCTGTAGATTTTTATGAGCACAGCATGCAGGCTCCTGATCATAGATCATGGTGGATACTATGTAGAAAAATTTTGTATTCTGTTCTATCTAATAGTGTTATTTGTATCTGTTCTTGTTTCCAGGCGTTCTCAGGTGTGCATTATGTTTGATAATCCTTCAGTGTTGTTTTATTAAACCTATGCACCAGTTCAAGTGAAGCAATTCACCAATCACAAAAATGCCTACAATACCATTATTGTTAGCAATTTCATCTCATGGAGCCAGTCTAACCTCACTAAGTACTCCACTATTGTGGCCTTGTACCAGACTACTAAGCTAAGCTGACTTAATAAATGACCTGCATGCTCTATGTACTCTATTCCTCCAGGATAGAGAAGATCATGGTTCTCCACAGCTTCCCGTATTGTGTTGCTCTCTTTATAACCTTTCTTTCTCAATGTCAGTTACATTTACTCAGTTTTCCTCCAATTCTCTTGACTTCTGTGAGTGTTAAATTCTCCAAGTTTTCTTTTTTAATTATGTATCCCCCCCCCAGAATTTCAGTTGTCTTCCTGATTATCAACTACCTGTAAAACAGGCAATAGATTCATGAGAAAAACTAACTTGTGATAAAGTAAGTTTCTGCTTTTATATGTCCTTGAGTAACATAGGCAGACAACCAAGCCTCTTGTCCTTGTACAGTGAATATTACTGTTTAAAAAAAAGTAAAAAAATGAAGCTATTTCAACAGTAAAATAATGAAACCTAATTAACAATCTAGTAGTATGCTTAAATTCATGCAGTCAAGTTACCAAGTAGGAAAGCTTATTTAAACAATTGCCATGAAAATATTTTTTAGAAAAACTACAGGGATGCCATACTATGGTGATGGGAAAGTGACTAGTCTAGATACCAGGTCAGGACCAATAACATTGAGGCTCCTTCCTGGGAGATTTTGTCAAGAATCTTGAGATATATAGCAGGAGCAACAGACCAGGTATAGCAGCAATATTCAATGCATGGGCAAATGGTAGATTTGCAAACATGCAAGAGAAATTGTTCGATGTGACATAATGAACCAACTTTTCTAACAGCAGACCTAACAAATGATTGAATATCATCATTTCACTTCATGTCAGAGGAAAACATGAGACCAATGAGTTGCTCTCCTGGAGGTTAGCATTAGCCATGCAGATAAACAGCAGAAATGGTTTTCTAAGATAATTAAAAAAAAAAAACAGCAGTTTCGTTTTGGAGGCATTCAAATTTACAAGCCATTTCTTGCCCCTGGTAACAAGTGATGGAAGGTAATTCCAGGATTTACTATTAAGGTGAAAATAAATAGTTGTATCATCTGCATAAATACCAACTTGGGAACTGATAACATCAGGAAGGTCGTTAATAAAGATAAAAAAACAAACTAGGTTCAAGGATAGAGCTCTGAAGCACACCCTCATTAATGTGAAAGGATCAAGAAGAGTGGCTGTTCAACACTATTTTCATTAACCAATTTGTTAAGATGCATTAAATAAGACATTTAGCTGGAGATAGCATAGCCCTTTATCTTGTTAAGAAGAACCAGTATGCCAAACCCTGTCAAATACCTTTGAAATATCTAAAGCTACAGCCAAAGTTTCACTATTTTTATCTAAAGTTTGGTACACTCTTTCAGTAATAGTTGTTAATTTATCAGTGGTTGACCTAGAAAAGCAAAAGCCATATTGCTTGTCAGAAAAAAGGACTTATGAAGTGAGATGGTTGACCAATTTCGTATTGATTAGAGCTCTCATATTTTGCCAAGAAGAGGTAAAAGGATGATAATTTAAGGAATCAGAAGGTTCAGGAGTATATTTCCACAGAACAATTACAAGGATGCCTTGTGGAAGTCTAGTTTGGAGATGATAGTAGAAACCATGGACAGAGTTATATGCATATCACTAAGTAGAGATTCTGTTCTTGGTGAAAAACCAGGCAAAGATACTCCTGAGGGATCAACCTCAGGAGAGGTATCACTGCATGCAACAATATTTACTTTTCAAAGTTATCTAAAACAGGAATGATCATCATAACAGTTTTATTAACTTCCTTAATGCAGTCAATTTTTCTTGCTTTGGGGTTTAGTTCACTTACATCCTAGCAGAGATCTGGCCTAGTTTGTGTTGCCAGCCACTTTAGTCAATTGCCTGATTTTTGTAACCTCTTGCAATATTTTAGCTATTTGGGATATTTTAGTTTTATACACTTCTTGACTTTCTTTACATTCAAAGTCAATAAACTTAAAAATGACTTGATTCTTACATTATTTACATGCAGACTATTGCTTTTATCTTTGTTGTTATTACATTTCAGTCATTGTACACTGATTTTCATAAGATGCTAGTCAACCTTCTGGGAAATTCAAACTGAACCCTTTTAGTCTATGGGGCTAGATTATTCTTGTTTTGCTAACCATATCTAAGGATATCTCTTGTAGTTCTTACTTTAGTACTGCTCAGTTATTGCTCACCATATTCCCACTGAATCCAAGTACACACCATGTTCAACACCTGGGTCAGGCAGTGTGTACTTGCATTTTTAACCTTGTTAATTAGTTTCTTTTCACTTCCATAGCTAAAATATTTATGCAGTTTATTCGTAATTTTTACTTTTTCTTGTATAATTTTACTGTTTTTTTTTTTTTGTTTTTTTTTACAAAAAATAGGTGATTTGCCTTTCAACTCTTCAGTAAAAGCAACAGACTTATACATATATAGTCCAGAAGTTACAAATTTCAGTTTTTCTTTTTTTAAAACTGAACCAGATACAGTCATTTTCAAAGTTCCAATTTGGGTATCTGCTATAATCTCATCAGTAACAATACCCAGTTTGTAAGCTTCTCCATTTCCAAATTTACAATTCATTTTACCTTTCTTAACTTTATCATTTGTCTTAATATTATTTGGTAACATTTTCAGAAAATACTCGTACAATCTTTTTCTACAAAAGAAAAAGTAACATGATAAAAATCAAACTGTACAAGACAGACCTAAATATGCAGATGGAAACTGGTAGTGAAGTTACATTGATTCCAAGAAACTTTTGGAAATAAATAGTAAACATAAGCAAATTATTTAAGAACTATTTACAGCTGTATCAATTTAATATTAATGCAGCTGTAAATTTTGTGTCAATATCAAATAAAAGTAAAAATCTTGGGCTATTTGGAAGGCATGTTAGAAATGGAGACTTGATATGAGATAGTACACATTGTAGTTGATGACGGTAATAAAGACCATAGTTTGGTTGGAAATGATGTACTAAACATAAATTCTGAAAAATTAATCAATGCTGTAAATTCATATAAAGACATGCAAATAATAAAAGATTATAAAGCTTTTGTGATTAGTATTTTCCTCAAATTTTAATAAGTTTAATAAATTTGTCCCTTGCACCTTCTATACTTCAGACCTAACCACAAAATGCCAACAGACAGTCAATCAATTTTAAAGTCAGCAGGATCTATTTTAGCTCCTCTCCAGGGAGGGAAAGAAAAGTTAACCTCCTAATCATGGAAATAAGTATCAAATTTTATGTATATATATTTTAAAAACAGACTTGATAAAAATATTAGTAAAATGTGTAATGATTACAACTTGTTTTTTGTGGAGAAGGGGACTTATTGGTGGTAGAGATGCAATACAACTAACTCAAACAAGAGGAAATCTAATGTTTCTCTGGTGGTGGTGGTGGGGGTGGAGAGGATCCAAGATGACAAACTACACATGTAACAGAAAACGAAGAGTTTTTTTTTCATAGCAGGAGAAGGAATAGATTTGATAACATATTTTTGAAGTGGGGGTACACAAGATGGCAGATAATCACCATACGCAAAAGAAAATTAGAATTAGAATTTTTTACATAACAATAGTTGGAATAGATTTCATTTTATATTGTAGTGGAGGGCATTATTTACATTACTCAGACTATTGTCCTCATCTTTGTCGCCATATTTATTACAATGTTTCGGCCGTTGTATACTCCAGCCTTCTTCAGGTGGTTGGAATGTCAAACACAACATTTCGGCCGTTGTATGCTCTGGCCTTCTTCAGGTGGTTGGAATGTTGAACTTAAGTTCAACATTCAAACCACCTGAAGAAGGCCAGAGCGTACAACGGCCAAAATGCTGTAATAAATATGGTGAGAAAGAAAAGGACAATAGTCCGAATAATGTAAATAATGTACATAATACCTCATCTCAGAAATATAGACAGATACTGTAGTGGAGGGATTGCAAAAACAACTAAAACTAGAAAGAGATTCCAGAGAAGATTGTTAAACTGAGGTTTCATGGAAGAAAAGCTTGTTTTCATAACTGAAACAAAAAATTATAATTACGAAGAATAAATCCAACACCAATTCACATGCTGAGATCTAAAAGTCCATATCTACAAACACAAATCAGAATTATAGATAATATGCTTATATTTCTATATACATAAAGTTGTAGTCTCTGTCTATGTCTGTCTGTTATCAAACTTCTCATAGGGTTTTGAAGATGGACCCCAATAACCATATATATTCTGAAACTACATTGCCCAGGGTACTTGGATAAGTATATTTCATTTTGATCAAAGGAGGTCCCTGCTGAGGCTCCCCACCACCACCACACTAAAAATTTTTTTCCCCTTGATATAAATTAAATTTAAATTTGACCATAGGAATGACTCCTAGGATACTTGGATAAAAATATATTTCACTTTGATCAAAGGGGGTCCTGAGAGGAGGGGGTGCCACCCCAACAAAAATTTTCTGTCTTTCATTTAAAGTAACTTTAAATTAGAACAAAGTAATGACACCTATCCAAAATATAAAAGGAGAAAGCCAGAATATGGAGGTCCCATCGGCAAGAGGCAAGGTCAATGAGTAATATTGAAATGCATCATTTTTCTCTACAAATTATAACAATGATTTCAAATCAAAATTTTACAAAACAAAAAAAAAATGTGTGGCATGCAGCAAGGTGTTTGTAATTCGGCTAATATATATATATATATATATATATATATATTTCAGTTTATTTCTCCATTTCAAAATCACACCTGTTATGAATCAAACCAATTAAAGGATTTCTTACTATGAGGCTTATCAATGTCTGGGCCATTCATGTTGATCGCCATGTTCACATCAGGAGGGTATATATTGGTCAACGAGTCAATTGCTGCAGTGATGTGTTCTGATGACAATTCCACAGAATCATCAGAATCATTTTCATATTGGTCCATTTTTTTCTCTCCTCCAAGGAAACCAAAGATGAAGATTAATTTCAAATCGAATTAGCTCACTGAAAAATAGAAACACAGAGAAAAAGTATATATTTGTTCTCTTTATTATTTGATTTGAAATTGCATATAGTAAACATTTGTCAAATATACAAAATGAGTCAAAAGAATCATCCAATTACTGTTTTTAGATAATCTGTAAAATAAAAAAAAAATTTAGAAAATTAATAATTTATTGTAATGTATAACAAGAGTGTGTTGAGGTTGGGGGAAAAATCTAACTGATTGCTCTCCCAGCAACAACAGGGGGTAATAGATAGAGAGGGAAAAGAAATGGGAGGTAACAAAAATAACACTATCTCAGAAACCACACCAACTTTAAGAACAAAATGCCCACAAGACTGATTTTACATCTTCCCAAATGCTGATTTTCCATTGCTTTTATTGGCATTAGATATCTTACAAAGCCCGAGATCTTGACCAGTTGCAGATAGGCCTGTATCTAGATATGCCAAGCTGTCTGGGATCTCTTTTGTGTCTGTATGGATGCACATTTGCCACATAGTCTGCAAGACAAATATTAACACGATTTCCCAGAATCTAGGTGCAACTTTGCTTAAAATTCCATAATGTTGCAACGTTGCATTCAAAATAAATGTCACAAGTGTTCTTACAATACCTAACAACTTCCAATCCCGTTAAATGAACGAAGAACGCACCAAAAATAATGATTTTTTTTTTTTTTTTTAAATCATTTTGTTGTATCCTTGAAGAGGCTACAGACAAAAGTGGTACTCAAGTGAAGGAACAGCAACAAGTGTATAGATGAAAGAGAGGCTTATTGTAAAAGAGAATACACTACTGAAAGACAGGTAATCTGGTAGCAGGATAGTAATTCCCAAAGCAAGGTTATTTACCTTACCTCCCCGAGAGGCAAGATGTGGCACAAGGCTGTTTTTTAATGTGTGGTAAAACCAAGCCCATAGGCTCGGGCAAAAATTCCCTGTAGCCCCTGTAAAAAAACGGGGTCAAGTAGCTGTCTACCACACCAGATGAGTCTCTGCTCTTTGACATAGCCTCGTCTGGGTTCCTTTCTGCCCGAAAGCAGAGAGTTCAACCAGAATCTCCAACTAATTGCTGAAGCAAGGATATTTGCCAACCACCCCACATGGTCAGATGTGGCACAAGGCTGAATTTAACTTGGGGTATCCGAGACTGTAGGCTTGGGCAAAAGTTCCCCGTAGACCCCGTAAAAAATGGGGTCGGGTAGCTGTCTACCACCCCAGACAAGACTGCCCTTTGGCATAGCCTCATCTGGGTTCCTCTCTGCCTGAATGCAGAGAGTTCGACAAGCACAGCTGGAGACGAATCTCCAACTAATTGTCAGAGCAAGCACCCACGTACATCCTGTGCTCACTATATATAGCTACTGATATAGTCAGTCCATATAGGCGATATGGAGTGTGGGACATTCCATTACAACACATTTTAATCAGGTGATAATGTTACAAAGATGCAAAAGGTTACTAAGAGTGAAAGAGAATGAGATTTTTGTAAGGACAATAAAAGAACAGAATTCAGGAAGACAGAAGATAGTGACTGAAATTACATTAAAATTTTTGAAGATCATAGGTAGCAGGGAAGCAAGAAATTAGAAGAGAGATTCACAGGTGAAAAGGGGTGAGAAAAGAAACAATTAGAATAGAACTTATGGTTACATCTAGCAACTTCCACAGTAAAATGATGAGACCTAGTTACCAATCTAGTAGCATGCTTAAATTAATGCGATCAAGGTACCAAAGAGGAAAGCTTATTAAACCAACTGCCATGAATGGCAATAGGAAAGTGATAGAAGCCGAGATGCCAGGTCAGGACCAACAATATTACAAAACCTTCTTTGGATTTTTTCAAGAATCTTGAGATACATAGCAGGAGCACCAGAACAGATATGGCTGCAGTAATGAATTGTAGATTTATAAATGTGCAAGATAGATTTAAGCAGGAAAGATTGTTTGACATGACACAGTGAACCAACTTATCTAGCAATTAATTTAAAATAATCACATCAATTCATATCAGTGGAAAATGTGAAAATATAAGGAGTTGCTCTCCTGAAGGTTAGCATCAGCCATGCTGATGGATGACAAAAAAAAAAAAAAAAAAAAAATGATGGTTCATATAATGATTGAAAGATGGTTTCATTTTGGGTGGTGTTAAAATTTAAAAGCCATATCATGCCCCAGCTAACCAGTGATTAGACATCATTTTCAAGAACAGCTGCCAGTTTTACTTTGTCAGGACTATCGGACATAAATATTTTTCTATTAAACTTATTATTGTTTGATAGTCATTAGCACCTGGTTTTAATACTGATTGAGCAATAATAAAAAGAAACAGGATTGATTCTACTCAAAGTGAGAAAGCATCATATTACCATACAAACAAAATTTTCAGAGAAAAAAAGAAAAATAAAAAGAGAAAAAAGGCTAAGGAGTAAGTGTAAAATGGAGAAAAAAAAGACAATAAAAATTACAAATCATCACAACATCCTACACATGCATGAAAGCACACACAAACACTATGAAAAAATTTTCACCAATAATAAGTACATATAAAAAAAGAAAAATTTGATATCCCCCCCAGGTGAGTGGAAGGATGGGTCCATTTACGAAAATCTGAGACTGGATGCTAAAATTAACATCAATCAGCTTAGAGACAAACCTTTTACTTATATATATATATATATATATATATAAACAAACACACACAAAACTTTTGGGCCACCCTGGTAAATTAATTACCTTTAATTTTACCTACAAATTGAGAGTGACTAGCAGTATGCTCTTCTCAGTACATTTTATGATCTCTGATGGCCAGAAAAACAAGTTACGCACATTTAGCATGGTGATGCTGAAAAAAAAAAAAAAGGCCATGCAAAAATACTAAGCCATCAGTAAAATTTTCAACTTTTATTCAGTTAAAAAGGAATTTTTTTTTTTTTGCAAAAAGTGATTTTTATCAAAGTACAAAACATCAAAGTGTTGAAGAGTTCTTGGGAATCGTTGATTCTTCAATTTGCACATTAATTCTAATAAGTGTTCTTTGTTCCCTACTTCTGCTTTCTTAATCAATTTTCCAAATTTGGAGAATCATTCACCTCCTCAGGAGTAGTTCCAGGGATTGCTCCTTCCCCAACTCCAACTTTTCTTCACTTCACATTTCATACCACCACTCCACACAGGTGGTGCCAAATCCTCCTCCTTCCTTCTCAGCATTCCACCCTTCTCTCAGGGCCAACCCAATTCATTTTGTGACAAATCTAATTTTCAAATTGTGTGGCAAAAGGGTGTAGCTTATTCTAAAGGCAGAGATAAAATTATTTCTTCATTTCTGGACCTACCCACATCCAGCGAAAACACAAAACAGATCACATTCTCGGCAATTACTGGATTTGTTTTCATAACTTCAACCCTCACAACAGGTTCCCTCCTTGTTTTCATCAACAAAAATATATTTGTTTGCCTAAATTCTTAGGGAAGAGATAAAATTGTTCTCCATCCGTGGACTGATCACTGTCAAGTGAAAACACAAACCAGTTACCTGCTTGTCACGACAGGATTGATCTTCATAACTTCAACCCTCACAACAGGTTTGTTCCTTGTTTTCATTTCCCAATTCATTTTCATCAATGAAAATATATTTGTTTGTCTAAATTCTCAAAGAAGAGATAAAATTGTTCTCCAGATCTGTTTTCATCTGCATGTCAGACTCTCAACCGATAAGAAAAGTAAACTTTAGAAGAAATCCAGATGGTCCCATTTTCACCAAGGAAAATGTCTCCAATCTCTCTCTCTTCCAGCTTACATTCCATTTTGGATTTAACCCTTTTTCTGCTCAGAATCAATATTTAACGACCTCATGGCCTCAGTGTCACAAGTTACCTGAGAAAAGATTCATACGCAAATATCTATGAGTTTTTTTAAAGACATTATTTAATTAGAAAAGCTTTTAATTGCTTTTATAAATAAGATATATTATGGATACTATTGTCTTAAGAAAAAAAGTCCCTTTGAAGGAATAAAGCATTTTTACAAAAATTGTTTTAAAGTTTTAAATCTTTTAAATTTGTGTATTAATTCATACCGGTTAGGTGATATTGTCATTAATAAAAACAATACTCACTAATCATAAATGGAAAAGCTTACTACAATTGAGCAACCCCCAATATTTTAAAATTAATTTTTTTTTTTATTTTTCTTGTGTAATAACAATAAAATAATTTGTAAAACACCTACACATACTACAACAATCCTAAAACAAAAGGGCCGAGGAGCAAGATTTTGATCCTTGGCAGAATACACAGATATTGTGATATATAGCAGAAGTGACAGTCCATATATAAATATACCTTTTATTTTTTATGGTACTGTGCTAGTTTGTAAATAAAGTTTCTTTTAGTTTTGTTACAAGATGAGATCTTGCCCTGCTTTGATAAACGGAAGTTACCATCACGAGTCCCTGACTCGAAATGAAAACTGCATGTCTACGCATAGGCTCGACGCAGATACTTCCATTTGGGATAAACTCAAAAAAAAAAAATGAAAGAATTAAATCAACCAATCGGACCGTCTCCCGCGTAGTCAAAAAACAATTGCCATTTGGAGCCGATAGGCGTGTATAAGTTCAACACGGGAAAGTCAAAAGGAATCCCATTCAACGGTGGAGGCAGAAGGGTCACGTCGCTTGCTCCTGACACACTGGCCTGGCGACGAACGAAGCATGTGACTGCTGCTGCTAATGAACTCTCGTCCGACGCTTTGTCAAAGGGTACCTTTCCCCTTCCATAAGTCAAGTTAACTCCACGAACTTTACTTGCCACTACCATAGACATTCAACTTCTTAAATACGAACCTTTTACTTGTTCTTATTTTCCTCACTAAAAGGACTATAAAATATATCTACAGTCTTGTTCTTTCGATTCTGAATTTCATTGTTTGCAACCAAACGCAGTATTTCGCCCACGTAACTAAATACGGAATATAACAGTTTTTAGCTATAACTATACCTGCATATCACATTATTAACCACTACAATTTTTATCAATATACAAAATAAATACTACTTGGAGTTTTATTTGCAGAATGATAGCAATATCTGTGCAGTTTAGATAAAAGGCCATTTTGTTCTGCACAGATATAAACAAATAGCAGCCATTTATATGAAACATCCTGAATTTCTAAGTTTCATTAATAGGTACATTATCAGTGTGAAGCTTTAAAATGGTTTGTGAGGATGATTTCAATTGTAATATTTTATTATACATTCAAACAAACCAATTGCAAAAATGAAATGAATTAGAAAAAACATTTTAGCAGTCAAGGAAAACTGCTTTTTATTAATTTGAGCTTTTCTTTCCTCAGATTTAAGACATCTAAATCGATTATTTTTTTTTTACTACTACTACTATTGATAATATACTGACAAAAACAATAATAGACTTACATCTGTTATTTTTTATTCATTTCACACCATTAAAATATATTTTGTGAAGTAGTTTAATAAAGTTTAACTGTGACAACCACCAATAAATAAAATTGTGTGGATAGAGGGTCCTGTTACATTATTTACATTACATTTATTTGATTTCTATTGTGTATATATTGATTTTTTATCTTTTTAAGACTGTAATTTCCATTTTTATAGTGTAAAAAAAAAACTCAATGATAAAAAAATGTTAGACTATAACAATGTCATTAATTTCAATTAAAATTAGCAAAACTTTTTACTTCACCTGTTAAGGTCCTTTGTTGGACATAGGACTTCCACAGATTCACGTGGTAGAATGGGCAATATTACCCTATAGCGCTGACCCAATGGGTGTTAATAGAAGCAGATGCGACATGATTGGATGATCATATCTGTTGTTGATTCATGATTGTCCAAGGGTATTTGAATTTAAGTGAGTGTAAAAAACCTGAATAGAATTTGAACTTGGCTCTCCAATTTCTCATTCTGAGAACTCTGTGGGTGGTGTAATAAATAACAGCTCTGTCATCCATCATACCCCCCACACACACACTTACCCCCTTACAGCACTTGGCATTCCCAGTTACCCATGTAGGTACTGACCAGCCTCAACATTTTTAAGTTCAGAGATTGTACGAGAACCAGTGTTTCAACATGATATGACTGTAAACTTAAAAGTAACAATGCAGAAAGAGGATACTTTATAGCTTATCCAATTATCACAAAAACTTAAATTATATTAGCATCTTATGAGTTTAACTATCAGTATACATAAATATCTTGTTGATCAAACACTTTTAGGATAAGATATATACATAGGTATATATATATATATATATATACATACAGATATATATATATATATATGACATAAAGAAGTTATGTGCTTGTAGGTTACAAAAATGCTTATTTATACAAGTATAAATAAAATAAAATCATTTACATATTGTTTGTCAGTATATTATTCATTCACTGTAACACTGAACTAATTCTACTTGTCAGTTACTTTTATTTTGTTTATGGAGGAAAAATATCACTTCCATTCATAATAATAATAGCCACACAAATGACGATATTAAATAATATAAGCATCAATTGCAGGATATACCAAGAGGATTCACTTTCACCACTCCCCTTCTGTCTTGCACTTTTCTCTCTGTCCAAATTGCTCTACAATTCAAACAGGGGATACAAAATCTACTACTACTACACATATGACCTCAAATTATATGTGAGAAATGGCAATGATCTCAAATTCCTACTGGATATAGTAAAGGATTTCAGGATATCAGAATGGAATTTGTCCTAGACAAGTGCCCCAAGACAACATTTAAAGCAGGACAATTTATCAAATCTATTAACATAGTGCTAAATATCAACACCTTCAACAGGAAGCTACAGAAATTTACTCTAATTAAAAGATGAAAATGTAAAAATGTAAAAGATGAAAAAAATGCTTAAATCACTGGTTCACCCACAGTAAATTTACATCCAGGTTTTCACAACTTTTCACCTTTCTTGGCAAATTTTCCGTTATCACAATATGGGATATTTAATAACAAAAAGTGATGGAAACATGAATAAAAAGTAAAAGAGACTAAACGAAATTGGCTAGACTATATACCCAAAATACACATTTAAAAAAATAAAATTAAAAGTTTTCAGTGTTCCCTTTTCTTCATGTGCATGTGTGGTTGCATCAACACCACTTAACCCAATGAAGTCATAAAGGACAAAATGCAACACATGAAAAATGTTTTCACTTTGTCATAGTTTTTTTTTCCTCCAAATATATGAAAGTGAACAGTGAGGCTAAAAGAGAAACTACACACACAAAACATCCTTTACCAATAATAAATACGTGAACAGCACAAACCTTTGTAAACATATATAGGAAATTAAAAGGAAAAACCAAAATACACTAAAGATATCATGGAAAATAAGGAAAACAGCACCAGCCTATAACAATAAATTCAAAAACAAAATTTTATCTAGGAGAAATTAGCTATAATCACCTTCCCAGATCAATGCAAATTACTAAATAATTGATCAGAATGTATCTCTAAATTCAGATAAGAAAAACAACTTTTATCACATTACTTAAAAATCAAAAACTAAAAATGAAAAACTTGAAAAGTACCACCAAGAAAAATACAAATATATGTATATAAACAATGCAGATAATGTAACATACTTTATAGAAAGCCAATACTTTAAACTAAACAAATAAGATAACTCCCCCACAAAAGGAAAAATAAAATAAACAAAAAAATAAAGTAAATAATAAACAAATTAACTATGTGTACATACATAAGCACAAGTAAATGTAGTAATAATCAACAGAAAATAATGAATAGATACAAAATTAATAATGAGTTAAGCACTAACTAACAACACTATATAGTGGCTACAAATAACAGCATTCAGATTCATTATTATTTCTACTCAATAGCTTTTAGAACAATATGAAATATAGCCATTACTGCCTATCCAATAACTGCTAGGATAATACAGTAAACTGGAAAAATTTTGCTATTTATAATGCCGCATTGACTAGCAAATATAAATAATTAAGCCACCACATAACACACATGGCCTGAAGATTGTGTTCAAGCATGAGACAGACTGTCACCACCAAGAGTTAACTTAAGTGTCCACTTTTATATTTACCTATGCTCTATCCCTGATATTAAGCACTTTTACCCATATTTATAGCATATCTTAAATCACACACACACACACACACATATATATATATATATACACACTGGAATTTCTTGAAAATAATTTTTACTGTAAATTACAGCTGATAGTAGTGGTGCGTATTATAATGGGTTTAAACAAAAATATTTTTTTCATTATTGATTTATAATAAATACATACTTATTGTTCTAAAATAAGGAAGACATTATCCCAATTTTCATTTTAAATCCAACAATAATAATTGTAACTTTTTTGTCAATAAATTTATCTTTATCAGTAACCACATTTTTTAATTGGCAAAAAAATAAAAAATCTATAAAAAAGCCAATTTCAAAGAACAGAGGATATCAAGTTAACAATTTATTAAAATTATAATTTTCATAATTATCATTACCACTTTCTATTATAGAATCAACATCTAAATTATCATTAACAATATTATATTTGTCCTGTTCAAAATTATCTTCAGCCTCTTCACTCTCTTGTCAAAGGATGTCATCTTCAGAGCCATCCATGGCTGTCATGAGACAATACTTCTTGAAACTTCTCTTAATAAAATCCTCACTGACGGAATCCCAAGATTCCTGAATCCATCTTACAAGAAGTTCCAACTGTTTTTTTTTCCTGTTGCCACCAGCAGTAAAACTGGGAACACCAGAAAACATTCAGTCATTCCATTTTTTACACATCTCTTGTTTAAATGGACAGATGCAGACAACATCCATTATTGGAAGTTGGCCAATCATTCCCCCTGATATAATAACAAGATCAGTCCTTTTTTCCTGAAGTATATTCTTCATGCAAGGCACCCTATGGCAACGAAATGCATCAAGAAACAACATACGTCTACTTGCAAATTCCATTGTGTTTACACCAAACATTCAGCAGCCAGTCCTTTGTGAGATTCTCATCCATCAACCCTTTTTTCATGACATTTTACTATCATACCAGCTGGACACTCAACGCTTTTTGGCAAAGTTTTCCGTTTAAAAATTATGTAAGGGGGGCATCTTCTTATCATCGCCATATGCACCAAGCATAACTGTGAACCTATTCTTCTCATTTCTAGTTGTTTTTATTGGAACAGACTTTGAATTCCAGAGTTTGTCAACAAGGCACATCAAATCTCTTTTTGTGGTTCTCAGAAGTTGTGAGTACCTGTGCCCTACATGGAGGCTTACACGATTCAGTAACTCCCTCCCCAAGCATTCTCGATACATTTAATGAATTATTTGTACCATCCAGATTTTACTGCTATTGGTTTGTAGTTTGGTATTAGGTTGTTAAAAAATGACAGGTACTGAAAATTGATTTAATCTAATCTGTAGATTTTTAAGGTTGGTTTGGTTCCTCCAAAACAGATTATTATACTAGAATGCCGACATAGGAAGTTGTTCCCTAGTATCATGCTGCAACAGAAATATTTCATTACTGATAGTTTTGTGTGAATGTAAGAATTATCTTTTAGCTAAGATCTGGCTAGGCAGTACCCAATTACTTCAGCACACAAAGAAACATGTGCCATAGTTATTTTGTCAGAAAAAAGAAAGATCCGCCACTTAGCTTTCATCACATTTGAATCTATGTAGCTCACAGAACTACCTTTGTCAATATGGGAATCCACGGATAAGTAAAATAAAGTAACATAAAATTTCAGTATGG